CGCGACGACAGTGTTGTCCGCTCGCCGCGATTTGTAGACAGTCGAGTGAAGACCATCAAAATGATGGAAGCACGACTGGTATGGACCAATCACCTCGCCATGACCTGGATCAGACTTGTCTGGCTCCTCTTGAAGCTGATCTTGACAGTCATCAATAAGGGCTACCGAGTCGATGGCCTCTGCTGCGTCAATCGCCTGTTGGCAAAGCCTTTCATATTCTTCCTACGCACTCAATAATGAGAAACGGAAGCAATGACCATAGCAGGAGAGAACTGACACGCGATGAAGCTTGATCATAAGCTTCGTTTTCACATTTCCTCGCCTGGGATTGGGCCTCTGTGAATGCAGCGGAGGATGAAGCTCGCTGGAAGGCAGTGGTACTATATTAAATAAGTACGAGTCTGGGAAAGAGCAGTTGAAGGCATACAGTGATTGAATAGCCGTCAATCTTTCGGAGAAGCCTAGATCTCTCTTCCACTCCATTGCTGTCTGAACCACCGTCTCCGAAGATTGAGGAAACTAGAAACAGAAGTGCTAGTAAGAAATAGACTTGTATGCGAATGAAGCGGAGCTCGTCCCTAATGAGTTTCCAATACAAAACACAGAAAGTGTTGAAAAGGATTGTTCCAGACCGAATCTTCGGCTGAGAGTCGACGGTAAGAGCCGTACGGTAACTATCGAGCGTTCAAGCGTTCAGGCGGTCGCGGGGAACATGTGACAGCTACACTTGGTCCGAAGTGGTTTAGTGTGTTGCCTGTTGCGGACTCGGCCAGTTCGGCTCCTCCGCCTGGCCTTTCGTCGGGCGTTGCAGTCCGTCCGTCATCGTCATCACCATCCATCCTCGTTCCGTCTCCTCCTCCTCTTCCCTTCCTCACTCCACCGCCAGCTTTTGTGCCTTAACGCGCCTGTCGGCTCCTCCGGCTTCCCTCCCCTCCGTCGCTTCCAAACAATCACCGTATTGATGCTCATTGATTCCTCTTGAGCTAGCTCTTATTATGCGCCTCCGAATTTTGTATCCTCGCAGCTGTGATCTATGAGAAGTAATGGACCTCTCTCGGCAGGAGTATCCGGCGCTGCTGGTACGATCAATTTCCATTGCAACACCATGCCTCAACCAGCCCCCACCTAATTAAATCTATACCACAATCAATGCTATCGCACAAATAGCTGATATTCGGTTTCATTGTTCTACATACAGGCCTCTTTGCAGCCCAGCCAGGCGACCAATGTGCTTAACGAGCGCATTCGCACCATAAACAAAATTAATGCGGACATTGCGGACTGGCTCCAGGTAAGGAACCTCCTACCTCCTTAACCCTCTTCCTTCCTAGAACGTACCGGTCTAACGCGTGGCGATGTCAATTGTAGGAACGTCGACGCATTGAAGAAGTATATGCTCAAGGCCTAAGGAAGCTCGCGCATCGCCCACAGTTAGACAATGGAGCGGCGCTAGGGTAATGCTGGCCACCCGGGCACGTTTCAAGCTTATGGAAGCTAACATGTACATCGCACTGCAGCGTATTTCAGATCCCATGGCAACGCATCGTCAGTGCTACTGAATCCATAGCGCTCTCCCACGAAACCTTCGCGCAAAAGATCGATGAAGATGTTGAACGACCTCTGCGGGAATACAACAGCAAAAGCCGTGAACTATCATCGATGCCTGGAATCCAGAGTGACCTTGCGGCGTTGGCGAAGAATTACGAGACGGCGCAGAAGAAGGTTGAGAAGGCCAGGGAAAAGGGCCCCAAGGGCGCCGACAAACTAGCCAGTGCTGTGGCTGCTGCCGAGGAGATCATCCAGCAATGGGACTCAAGGGCCCCGTTTGTCTTTGAACAGCTGCAGGCGGCAGATGAAAGTCGCCTCAATCACCTAAGGGACGTCTTGACTCAATTGGAGACCCATGAGTCCGATCAGGTGGAACGCAGCCGTCAGGCGGCTGAGAGCTGTCTCAATGTTCTCCTCAACGTCGAAACAGCAGACGAAATCAAGACATTCGCGGCAAAAGTTAATGGCGGACGACCAGTCGCTCCGCGGAGACAGCAGGCCGCCTCCCCTCCTCCCGTAGCCCCGCTCTCTCCTCCACCGCACCTTCAGGATGATGCTGCCAGCCAGCGCTCGGAAACGTCGGGACCAGCCAGAGCGCCTCCCGGTAAGTATTCAGTCTCGGCTGCGAGGGAGCCTGATGTTTCTAGGCATGGTAAACTAATCGGTCAACCCTAGTTCCTGAGCCTCGCCACAGCACTCCTCTCGGGGGATTGAAACGACTAGGAACGGTGATGAATCGTCGTCGGAGTATTGTACAGCCTTCCGGCGGTGGTCCGTTCTTCTCAGACAAGAAACACCGAAGCCCATTTGCTTCTTTCAAGAGAGGGGATTCGCGTGATCTGCAGATTCCGGAGACTCCGCCAGAAGGATCTGATCGTCCCGGCACCGCCTTGAGTACTCAAGAGGGCCATTCTGGATCCTTGAATATCCCAGGAGAGTTTCCCGAACACGAAGAAGACTTCAATAGATCAGCATCTGGTCCAGTCTCTCAACCAGCACCTGCCGTGGCTAATGGGGAAACCCCTCATGAGATTCCTAACGAGGCGAGTTCTACCGTACCGAATGAAGTAAGTCGCACCTGGAAATGTCCAAGAAGATCCTCACTGATACCTTGTCCAGCCACGAGTAGACTCGGAGGGCTTCTCGGAGCGGCCAGATACCATCGACGAGATTACACGGGCTCAAAGAGAAGCGGCTGGGTATGTTATTTGCGCCATGCTGATCAAAAGTTCATTGCAGGCTAATATCATCGCAGTTTGGAAGAAAGTGGCATAAATTTGACCATCCGAGACCAGCCGATCTTCGAGGATGAAGATCAGGCTAAGCAGGCAATGGATGATATGGCCAACCAACTTAGACTTGTGAGTTCAGGGCACATAAAAACCGCGTAGTTGAAGAGGTGCTAATGCCCTGCATAGCGAGCCCAACAATCGGGAACGAGGCGCAATGCAGGTACTCTGCGCGGCCGGCGTGACGTCCGCAACACGGTTTTCATTCCTAATCCCGTCCCCGGAAGCGAGAACCCTGTCTCGCCCTCAGCATCTGATCCTCCTGTGCCACTTTCTCCCTCAGCGCCTTCGAGGCATGTCCATTCACCCACTGCCGCTACAGATGACCATACGCTCTCCGACACCACGTCGATTCGCTCGGGGCATACATTGCACAGCGCATCGGGCATTGTCGCCCACCCAGAGCTTCACGGACCTGGTCTCAATGCTTCGATAATAGATACCGTCAGTGCATGGTTCTCTGAAGGAGCCATAACAAAGACCCACGTTATCGGCGAACTTGCTCTTGCCTACAACCCTATTCCCGACACGCCGGCAGAAATTGCTCGAGTTCGACTCGACAACTTCCAAATATTGGAAAAGGTCGCCGCTAACCCACACTTTGTCAGCGAAGAGAAGAACAAGGAGCTTTCGGATGAGCAAAGAGGCCAGTACAAAATCAACCTATCTGGCATCACTCGCCCCTCGCCGACCGTGGCTTTCAAGTACCAGATTCACTTTGATCCAGCGAATGCTTCGAGCTATTGCCCAGTCATCTTCAAATCAGTCTGGAACATCGAAGATATGCAGGCCAGTGTAATCATCTTCTACTCCGCCAACCCTTCATTTCCAAAGGGAAGTTCGATCAACGTCAAAAATCTATTATTGACGGTCAACCTTGACACATCCCCTCTTGAAGACCGAGAGGTGGCCCATGCCACAGCTGCTGTCATGTACCCCAACACGGGAGCCACGTTCCGACGCAAGCAATCGGCGGTGACTTGGAGGCTTCCTGAACTTGATGTCACAGCAGGATCTGATGGCAAGTTTCTCGTTCGGTTCTCGACCGGAACCAGTGGGCCGCGGAAGGGTAAAGTGGATGCGAGATTCGAGGTGCACAGGATCGAAGATGGGGCCCAACTAGGAATCAGCACAGCTTCTTCACCCGAGCAAAGAATACAGAAGAGCACTGATCCTTTTGCGGACGAGGATTCAGGAACGCCGACTGCGGATGCGGGTTCGTCTTCCGAATGGAACAGAGTCCCCACTCTGCGCAAACTGGTCGCAGCTAAGTATGTCTCATCTTGAAGTTTGCGTCCGTGACGACTCCGCGTTCTGTGAGTCTTCAGTACATATGTACAATGAGCCAAACCCCCCGAAATGTCTCCGAACTGGCGCATAGGATGCCCAGCACTGCATCTCGCGGTTATTGCGCAAAGCTATTGGAATATAATTCCATGCCGTTGCAGGACTGTATGTACATGGTTGGTGTTCGTACTGTGTTTGCCCCGCCTGTACCTGTACAGTTACCACACCAACCACACAGCGCAGGTTTTCTAACTTCCCTTCCTTATATTTTTTCTCTATGTCAAAGTCCTCTCTATCTGCCATGTTATTATTCCCTCAACAATTCCTTTCCTTTATAAGCTTCGTTTCCTTCTCCTCCCGGATTCGTGGTGGTGTAAAAAAATCATCCCTCCTTCTGTTCCTTTGTCAGAATAAGTGGAAATGTCTAATGCCTTGTAAATGCTCAATGCTCAAGTTCTACGTCGTGCTCCTTCTCTTTGGTGTAATATTTCTTCCATGAACACCCACGTTCTACCCATACCGACTTGAGACCTTAGATTCTATTCTACAAGCTAGCTCCCCGTGGCTTCTTGTGACTCTGCTCAACAGGATGTGCGTTCAACTTGCACTAGGCACTAGTGTACGGAACTTGCGGGCATGGCATCTACACATATCCTAATTCGTGATAAAGACACGACGACCACGGATCATGAGAAGTTTGCAACGGTATAACAAACATGGCACCAGTGATGCCTGTGCCGGGGGAATCATTTGAGCTATCGAGCTAATCAAACACGCACGCACACACACACACACACACAGAGAGAGAGAGAGAGAGAGAGAATGGGGCGCGGAAGAGTGTGTGCTACTACTACTGCTGCAAAAATTGTTTGAAATCTACATCCGCGCCGCCCTGGTCGTTTTATCGTAAAAATCCAGGGTCATGGCCGCCAGAAAGCAGGGGATATCCTTGCGCTCTTCGACCCAGAATTTGACCAGGGGACGGATCTCCATCGCGAAGAGGCTGTTGGGACCCCCGGAGATCTTCATGGTCCCATTCTCGCCGTCGAAGATGATCGAGTTCTCCTCGCCGTTGCCCATGCTGCCGGGTCCCTGCGCGTCCGATGACGAGCCACCACTATCCCGGTCACCGTGCCGGTACGCCGCGGAAAGATGGAACATGGAGGTCACGCGCACGCGGCCGTTGGGGAGGAAGTCCAGCTTGAAGCCGAGGAGGGAGGCGACCGCCTCGCGGAACTCGGAGGACTTGGCGGTCCAGATCTCCTTCAGGCGGCGCATGCGCTTCTCCTTGTCGGCGACGGCCCGCTCCATGTCCTGGATGTCGAGCTTCATGCTCTCGAGGGCGCTGACGGGGACGACTTTGATTTCTGCATTGTTGTTGTTGCCGCCACCGCGGAGCTGCGCTAGCAGATCCTGGTTCTCGGCTTTCAGGATGCGCAGGGTCGACATCTTCAGGTTCTCGGCCTCGGCGGTAGGGTTGTCGCGCAGTTCGAGGATGCGCGTGCGCGACTTGGCCTTGAGAGATCGCAGCTGCGATTTGGCGGCCTCCAGCTCTTTGCGCAGGAGGGTCGTGGCCTGCTCGGATTTTGTGAGCGTGTCCTGCAGGCTGCGGTTCTTGCGGAACAGGATGGACAGCCGTTCGCTCTCGGCGTCGCTTTCGGCTGGTGAGAGGGGGCGCTTGACGCCGCGAGGCTCGTCTTGCTGCTGCTGCTGCTGCGTTGCCGCCGATTCACGCTGGGAGAGCTCCTCGTGAACCTTGGCCAGTTCGGCTCTGTACTCGTCGACAAGCTTTTCCAGTGTGGCGATTTGCTCGGATTTCTGCTGGTCGAACTGGCTCTCTTCGGCATTCATGGTCTCCTCTTCGGTGTCAAAGGTCTTCAACTGGGCGCGGAGATATTCGACCTCTTTGATGGCGAGGGTGCGCTGCCTCTCAAGGCGGGCCTTAGCACGGCTGTCTGAGGTGGCTCCGCCGGCTGCAGAGGCGGTAGCGCGAACAGTCTCGAGTTCCTTCCGCAGGGTGGTCTTTTCGGCTTCCAGGCTTCGAATCTGTTCCTCCTTCTCCAGGGATTCGGCCTCAATGCTGCCCAGCTTGTCGACAAGGGTGGCTTTTTCGATCCGTTCCTGTAGCAAAGCTTTGACAACCGATTCCGGAGAGTCAAGCTCAGCCGGTTGGTCGTTACCCTGTAGGAGACTAGTCCAGGACCTTCGCTCGTCTTCGAGTATCTGCATCTGGATCTGAACAGTCCCTAGCTCAGACTCCACGCCCTTCATGAGTTGTAGCTGATTTTCCAACGATCGCTTCTGCTCCTCTACCACCTCCACATTCTTCTGCACCTTACGGAGGTGACGTAGCTCGATCGTCTGTTCACGATTTGTAGTCTCCAAGTTTCTGATGTGGTTGACCTGGTCCGACAGCTCCCGCTTGAGAACAGACAGTGCCTCCGTGTCGCTGCCTTCAGCCTTCAGCCGGAGATTCTCCGATTCCAGGTGTGCGACTTCCGTTTCTCGTTCCTGTAACCTTGCTTGCGTGGTATTCATATCACTTCGTACAGTCTGCAGATCGTTCTGCAGCTCCTCGAGTGTTTTTTGAAGCGATGACCGGATCGTTTCCAGCTCGTTGACCTGATATTTGGACTGTCGTTCCTGGTCGAGCAGTTGCGCTTTGGTATCGTCGACATCTTCCTGCAGGGACTGGTTCTGGTCTTGGAGAGTCCGAAGTCTTCGCTCCAGCTCCGCTTTCTCAGTGAGTGCGGCGTCTTGAGCCTCTTTCAATTCTTTCGCAAGGGTTTCGCTCTTGCGGCTGGCACGGTGACTGGACGATTCTGCTACCTAAGCACGATCCCCCCAAGGAAAAACAAATTAGCCATGAAGAACACGTCCGTCGACTGAAAGGGGTGAGCGTACCTGAGCTTTGCGGAAATCCGCATCTGCCTTCAATTGCAATTCCCGCAGCTCTTTCTCATGGCGCAATACCATCAAATCTCGCTCCTGCTTGAAGTTCTCGAGTTCATACTTTAACGTGTTTACCTGAACGCGCAGTTCTTCCTTTTCGGTATCTTTGGAGGACGATAGGTCAGGATTCCCTGCGATAGTAGAGGGGGTGCAGGTCTCACCTGGTTTCGAAGGGTGAGCTGGTTCTGCCAGACGACTCGATAGCTGAAAGACACTCGGAGCTGGAGGGAGAGCCAAAGGGGATTCAGGCGGTGGAGAGCCCCATGCTGCACGCGAGTTTCGTCTTGAATCCATCTATGAACGTCTTCCGTTAACTGGATCCTTCGAAATCTCTTATTATGCCATGCGACGAAGGGTTGGACGTACACTGAAGGATAGAAGCAGGCCAAGCGAACCTGACTGGACGGTTCACCTTTTGACAGCAACACAGCACAGTCAATGCTAGGGATCACAGATATGCATAGGCTTGACCTCCAGTCTGGCGACGGGAAGTACAAGCAAGCATTACTCAAAAGCTCATCCACTAGTACTTCATTTGTTTGGGGTTTGCATGCGCGGCGATGAACATCGGCATCCGCACCTGCACCACGCACCACGGCCACCAGTGCTGACTCAGCTGCTCACCGCCCGCGAAAGCTCCCACTTTAGAATAGGACTAGCGCCGAAATTTTGAATGGATTTCGAATTTTTGCGGGTTTCAGCAAAAAGACCGGACGACTATTTCTCCCCCACGCCCATCGCCCTCTCTCTCGCCCTCGCCCAACCCCTCTTTCCGGACTCAGCATCAAATCCTCGAAGCGGGGTCTAATATTCACAATGGCCAAGGACAAGAGCGACAAGAAGGACAAGCGCGAGAGAAAGGAGAAGCGCGCGGAGAAGGACGGAATCTCCAAGAGCAAGAAGGACAAGAAGGAGAAGAAGGACAAGACCGCTCTCGCCGACGCCGTCGAGAAGGAGCTCACCACCAAGGTTCTGGAGGGCATTGAGCAGGCTGTTCCTGCTGATGCCACCGTCACCGGTGTTGTTGAGGCTGAGGTCATGGATGTCGACAGCAACCCCGTTGGCGCCCTCGTTCCTTTCGCCCAGCCTCTGGTTGAGGACAAGCAGGCCAAGAAGGTTCTGAAGAGCGTGAAGAAAGGTAAGAGCATCTGCCTTCGATCAACACAGACTCTCTACCATGCATTGAGTCCTAGGCCTCTGGTCTTGTGGACATAGATGAGCCCGGGAATCAATGCAGATTTCGACTGTTCAGCGCGACCTTTCCTGCCTTACCATATACTAATTGAAACGCCTCGAACAGCTGCTGTCAACAAGTGCTTGAAGCGTGGTGTCAAGGAAGTCGTCAAGGCCCTCCGCAAATCTCCCATCCCCGCCGCCAACGCTACCATCGCCGTCCCCAACGGCGTTGTCATCCTTGCCGCCGACATCTCGCCCATGGACGTCATCTCTCACATCCCCGTCCTGTGCGAGGACCACGGCATCCCATATGTCTTCGTCACATCCCGAGCCGAGCTCGGTAACTCTGCCGCCACGAAACGCCCCACCAGTGTCGTAATGGTTGTGCCCAAGTCGGCCTCCAAGGGCAAGAAGGGCGAGGACGAAGGTGAGGACTTCACCGAGGTGTATGAGGAGTTGGCCAAGTTGGCTCAGAAGGAGCTGAAGCGGGTGAACCTGTAGAGGTTCATCGGGTGTGATTTCTTTTCCGTTATTTCCTTAATCTATATGGCTTCTTTTGTTTTGTCTTGTCAACTTGCGATGGCTGTACAGTTCCACTTTGATGCCTGACAAGGCAGTGCATGTCTTTGGGGTCTGGCCTTTGGGACGTGCTTATATGGGTTGATCTTTTATGACGTGTCCGTTGCAAATCCGGCGTTCGCAAATGGTGTATGAAAAAAAGGCAGGATGTCTTCAAAATTAAACTCAATTGACTGACAAGATATGATTCCTTTTACGAGGCGGTAGTTCCAAGATTATTTCAGTAAGCCTTCTGGCGACCTTTCAGCCTTGCCATTTTTCAAAGTGCGTGGGGCAACACCGGACTCGCTCATTCTCAATGATCCACGCTAGTTCTATCCATGATGTAGGTTAGCATTGTTGCTTAAGGAGTATTTTCCTCTAGGGTGAGGGCGTGCAATGGAAGCATTGCGGGAGTGGGAAGGCTTGGCGTGCAGCGGATCTGCTCCTGAGCATCTTCATCTGCTTGAACCCCATCACACCAATATTCTGAACCACACAGTGACTATGGCGCCGATGCTTTGGGTGGACGCTAGTCGCCCTCATCGATCGTTACTAGCTGTCTTCATAGTGTGGAAATGCCTGTTATTACTACTCGCTGCCTTCACACCGGGGCCCGGGTACGACACCTCGACCACCCTGATTGATTGGAACAGTGACCCGACCAAAGCCCCATTCCCAGCCATTTTGGAAACGATCTCGACCAAATTGACCCGCTGGGATGCTATTTACTACACCCACGCTGCCAATCGGGGCTACATCTTCGAGCAAGAATGGGCCTTCGGCTACGGATGCAACCGACTGATCCATGTCTTGGCGAATGGTACTGTTTCCTGGGCTATAGAACCCACCACTAGTACAGTAACGATAATATCCTTCCAGAACTCTTCCTGGCTAACAGACTCACCAGGCTGTCGCAAGCTCGGCATCCTGGACTATGCCTTCAACGCGAGTCTGGTGGGCATCTCAATCTCCCACGCCGCGCATGGCCTGTCCGTGATCGCGCTCTACCATCTCGTCTGCGCGCTTTTCCGCGGCGCGCAGGGCGGCCGCAAGGTCGCGCTCCTCGCCGCCTGCCTGCACGTGGTGTCGCCGGCGGGGGCGTTCCTGTCCGCGCCATGCGCGGAGAGCGCTTACGCCCTGTTGAGCTTCAGCGGCTCGCTGCTGTATGTGAAGAGCTTCGCCTCTTCCTCGTTGGCGGCCAGCCCCCGCTCGTATCAACACGACACCCTGCTCGTCCTGTCCGGGGTGCTGTATGGCGTCGCCACGACCTTCCGCAGTAACGGGTTGCTGAATGGCATCCCGCTCTTCGAGGAGGCGGTGCGGCAGCTCGTCCTGCTGTCGCAGCAGGGTGTTTCACTCGCGCAACTGCGCCGCTTGCTCGCTGTCGGGACGGCCGGGGTCTGCGCGGGGCTGGGCTTCGTCCTCCCGCAGTACTTCGCCTACCGGGAGTTTTGCACAGACCGGGAACCGAGGGCGTGGTGTCAGAGAACCCTGCCGAGTATTTATAGCTTCGTGCAGGAGCACTATTGGTACGTTTTGTCCATTCAATGCCAGTTGTTCCCGGCCCTCAACGGCTAGCCACTACGGAGTACTCATCTATGTACAACAGGGACAATGGATTTCTGAGGTACTGGACAGCATCCAACATCCCGCTCTTCGGCCTCGCCGCCCCCATGCTGGCCATCCTGTTGGCGTCGGGGTGGCAGGCTCTGAACGGAGAATTGAGGTCGCTGTCGCTGGGGGCGGGGATGCCCTCGCGCAGTCCGGTCGAAAAGCTGCGGGACTTACCGCCGCCGACGGAACCGCAACCGCAACCGCAACCGCAAGCTCGCGTGACGGACCGGCTGCTGCGGAGCCTGGCGGTGCCGCAGGTCGTGATTGCGGTGCTTACCTTCTTCAATCATCATGTGCAGATCATCACGCGCGTGGCGTCGGGGTATCCGATCTGGTATGTGTGGGTTGCTTGCTTGCTGCTTCGGGGAGGGTCGGCCACGGAAGAGGGTGGTGGTTGGTACAGGAAGGGCAGTAGCCTCGTCGTGAATTATATGGTGGTGTATGCTCTTGTTCAGGGGGTGCTTTATGCTTCGTTTTTGCCTCCTGCTTGAGGGCGAGGGGGCTCCGCGGGGTATGCGTTTTTGTTGGACTGGGCATGGGCATGTAGGATAGCATCACTCTCCAGATACGATTACTTCTCTATACCACTCGTTTTTGGCACTGTAACCATGATCCAGGCTCGAACTATTCCTGCTTCCCAGAGTTCATACACCCTTTGATTGGGAAATCGTGTACATGCAACCAGCTCTGTGTATGTTGTTACAGGTTTGGGATGGGATGGGATGTGAGTAGTAAGCAGGCAGGTAGGCAGCATCCCTCGATCAAGATTGATGATCTTTCATCACCCATTCGCCGTCTGCTAGCATCGTCTGCACTCCAGATGATCTCTTCGTCCTTGGGCAGCTTAATTAATCAAGGGAATCGGCATGTATTATCCTTCTTTCTCTTCCACAATTCCAACTTGCAAAGTACTTATCTGTTCTCCGGCATCCCCAACTCAGAGAGGCACTCAACGTCATGCACCAGCAGGCTAATTGCGAAAATCTACTAGGTAGCAACCGGCATATACCTCTCCAATAAGTAGGAATCACCGAGAGAAAAAAAAAAAATGTCTAGACAGTCTCGTATTTGCGTCCAATAATCTAAAAATACAATTCATTGAGAAATTGCGACGGACCCAGTCCTGTCTTCGCAAATATCATAACAGCCCCCAACATCATAAATACTAGGAGGCCTTCCCAAAGTGTACAAATTCATATCAAGGAAACCCGCTTCGCTTTTATCGTAAAACTTCATCCCATCATGCCCGTTACCTAAGCGCGCTGGTCGGACTGCAGAGCCTGGAACGGCTGCTGGTTGTCGACGCCTTTCTGGCGGCCAGCGGGGGTGCCGGCGGGCCCGCTCTCCGCCGACTTCAGCTGGAAGCCACCCTGCGCCAGACGGCCGGGGTCGTTCTCGCTGCCGATGTCGGTGGTGTAGCTGGCGTTGGGGGCGTCGTCGGGGATGTCCCCCTCCTTGAGGTTGGTGCCCTTGGGCTTGGTGTTGCCCAGGTTATCGAGGACGTCGTGGACGTAGGAGGGGGCCACGCCGGCCACGCCGCCTTGGTAGCCGCTGCCGCTGGCGGGCGCAGCAGCAGTTTGCTTCTGTTGTTGCTGGCCGACGGGGTGCTTGGGCTGGTGCTGGTGGGGGTGGACCTTATCGGTGTTCTTCTGCTGCGACTGCTGCTGCCCCGAAGCAGCAGCAGAGTACTCGCCCTTGTTGAGGCCGAGCTCCTGCTTGGCGGCCGTCGAGCCGCCAGTGTAGCCGGACTCCGGGAGATGGGCGCCAGGGAAGTTGCCCTGGCCGCCTAGGGCCTCCGGGTACTTGTCTTGGGTGTCGCGGTGGTTGGGGTCAATCTTGCGGGCGCTCGAGGTGTCGGTGTTGGTGACGGTGGAGTTCTTGCCGTCGACGCCCATGGGCTGCGCCCCGCGGTTCTGGGCGTAGGCGCCGCCCTTGGTGGCTGACTCGGCTGCGAGGGAGTCGTTGGTGACCGGGCCCGAGGGCTCGTTGATGGGCTGCTCATAGCGTTCGGGGTCGGAGGTGACCTATATCTGCCACGTTAGGACATCGTTCCCCAGGGGTCCCCGGGGGGAAGCACTCGCCCACGGGCTGAATCCCGTGGAACAGGAACTTACCTTGGTGCTGCGCTGGCCGGGGGGGATGGGCTGTCCTTGGAGATCCATGATGAAGAGATTTGAGTGTTTTGTGAAAGGATGGTTGTTTGGGTGAGTTGTTGATGTGATGCGGATGGTTTGATCGCTTTGATTATGTTCGTGGAATTTGATTCTGCTCCTGTCCTTCGAACGCAATTGCGCAGGCTATATAGGATAGCATGAGCTTGCATGTCGTCAACCGGTGCAGTACATGGGAGCATGTTACATGATGTCACTCTGACATTACATGCCCACAACCGAATCCCTTGCACAAGTAGCAGAGAAATCAGTACTCATACGTCAATGAGCTGGGCCCTGTGGCGTCAACCTTCCGATCGATGACCGGGAAGAAGAAAAGCTGTTGTCATCTCCCATCCTGCTGCAGAGAGGATCCGCCCATTCCCCCATTCTGGACCCCCCTCGATTGCTCTTCGCACCAGAGGAGTGGGGAGATGGTCAGCGTTCGGTCCACACGCTTGATTGCCTTTTCCGGTATGCCGAGGAATCCTGGAATTTAATGCGTTTGTCGATAGGGAAGTGGGTTGAAATTGCGCCATGAGGGCGGTTGATACTGTGTGTCTGATGTCTGCCCGGTGCAGCGAGTGCAGTGCAGTGAGCTTGCACTCTTTCCTCATGAAGTTGACGAATGACGGACCGCGGACGTCATTCGGTCGCTATCTTTTCTCTTATCTTATCGGTCTGTGTAGTGGTAACTTACGAGTAAACTGGCAGCATGCAGATAGATCTAGCATTTCAAAAAATTTCATGAACAAGAGTAATTAGAACCAAAATTATACACATATACTTCATTTGTCTGCTACTATTATAGTGCTAATTTGTACTCTGGGTTGTTGACACTCGACCGAGCCGTCGGAGGGTCGGGGGTCCTTCGCCACGGTCGCATTGACGGTGGGCTACTCGTGCTAATTTGCAATAACCCAATTCTGCCGACAGTCTATAAGTTGCATTAGGATTATTAGGGCTATTGGGGGTTTAAAGTATTTCAGATCAAAGATGTTGTTCCGTTAGGGTTCTTTATTAGAAGATCTTACATATAATTTTTAGACTAGGGTCAGCTAATGGAAAAAGTGGTCTGTTGAGCGGGGAAGCAATGATGTACAAAAATAATAGGAGGTCTGCTATGTCTGCTATAAACATTTGGGGAATTGCAAATTGCCACGAGTAGCTTGCCATAGTGGGTTGCCACTTTGACCAATATCCCCCCATAATCCAGGTCCTCCTCACGAATGGTCCTGAACGGGCATGCTGAGAGCACTACTGTTTCTGCTTCTGCTCCTTCTCCCGCTTAGGCACTTGGGCCAGCCAGTACAGAACCAACGCACCCACCACGTTGAAGGCGACATACGCCCACATGATGCCGAAGTTGCGCCAGCGCGTGCTGTACTCCGAATGGATCGCGGCCAGATATGTGTTCGTCTCCTTCACCTTGCAGTAGTGGCAGTCGCTCGCGGCATTCGCGTCCAGCAGATACCCGCCGGCCGTGGAGAGATACTCGGCCAGATACGCGCCACACGTCTGGCCAGACGGCGGGTCCAACACGGTGAACTCATTGCCCGCGCACGTCACGTTGCCGTTCGCGAGACCGGTCGACAAGACGGCGGAAACATAGTACGACAGAGGCGAGGCGCGGTAGAGGAAGATCCAGAACCGGGGCATCTGGTCCGGCGACGCCAGCACCCCGCAAAAGAAGAAGGCCAGGACGAACATGAAATTGGCGATATTGCCCCCATCATCGGCGGAGCCCGCGAAGGAGACGCACAGGTGCGCAAAGGTCGACACCCACAGCAGGAACACCCAGAAGAGGAGCCACATGAGCGCGCCTCTCTCCGTGCCCTGGCCGGCGGCGTCGGCGTTGCGGTAGAACCCCACGGGGAAGTAGAACAGTGCCCACATGCACACCGAAGCAAGGGTGTACCAGGGGATCTCGCATAGGATCTGGCTCAGCATGAACACTTGCCAGCTGTAGGTCTTGGCTGGTCGCTCGCGAGCTTCGTACAGCGAGCGCTGTGCGACGAAGTGTGGGAATTGTTGGTCTACCAGCTGCCCGACGATGCTCATCAGCTCGAAGATTGCGAACATCTGGTTTTGCAGGCCTTGAATGCTGAGTGGCGAGTTGAGAAAAACGAGGCCGATGAACAAGCTTGTGGCAGTGCAGAGTAAAAGCTTGGAGTAGATGTAGGACGGAGTGCGCCAGGTCTGTTTGAAGGTACGCTGGGATAATAGAACAAACTGGCGCCATGTTGAAACCGCAAACTCATTATAAGAGGCCGGGTCATCACTGCTGGTGTTCAGGGTATCAGATGTAGTGATGGATCGAAGCCTCGCCAGTTCGATCTGAACATCGCGGTATTCGGGGCTGGAGCGCCAGATTCCGTGCCAATCGACCTCTGATTTGCTGCCAGGGGCAGCGCCAATCGCTTCCAGCATCCATTCGCCTGGATTGGCATTCGGAGGACACGGCTTCGCACCGTTTCTTTGGAAGTAATCCACCAGGATTTCAGAGTTGGCTCCAATGTCACCTGCGCGGTGTTAGCGCCTGTCATGCTTGATGTTGAGGCTAACTAGCCCTAAGAAGAAGATGACCCACCAAAATACACCGTCTTACCCCCTTCAGCAAGGAGTAACAGACGATCAAAACGTTCAAATAACATGGCTGAGGGCTGGTGGATGGTACAGATGATTGATTGACCCGCCTTGGACAGTTTGGTGAGGAGGTCGAGAATAGCCCAGCTGGTTTGAGAGTCCAGCCCGGATGTAGGCTCGTCAATGAACAGTAGCAATGGAGGCTTCGCGGCCAGTTCAACGCCAATCGTCAGACGCTTACGTTGCTCGACATTCAGGCCTTCTCCGGGGACGCCCACCACAGCATCGGCGTAATCCTGCATGTCCAGCAACTCAATAACCTCATCGACGTAGGTCAGCTTCTCCGCTTCTGGCACACTCTCTGGTTGGCGAAGAAGAGCTGAGAATGTAAGGGCCTATGGAATAGCGATCGTTAGTGTCGATCTTCTAGGCGCTGGTGGATCTGGCGAGGCTTGTCTCTCACCTCGCGCACGGTGGTCGTCTCCAGGTGCAAATCTTGCTGCTGCGCATAACCAGTCTTGCGCTGGAAGCTCTTGTCTCGCAGCTTCCCATCAACCAGCATCTCTCCAGTCAAGATGCCCACCCCTGCGCGGCGGTCCGCAAGACAGTCCAGTAACGTGGTCTTCCCGGCCCCCGATACCCCCATGAGGGCTGTCAAAGTGCCTGGCTTAACCCACCCATCCACACGATCCAGAATCCGGCGGGGTTTACCTTTGATCTTGATATCGTAGCACACATTGCTCCAGTGGAATACACCTCGGGTGCCCTGAAAGGTCGGCTCCTGGGAGGGCTTGTAGTCACCCCTCGGCTTTTCGAGTAGGGCTGTCACTGGGCCTGAGGGCAATGACTCGACGTCTGACTTAACCCAGGGCAGGAATCGTGGGACAAATCCGCGACGGAAGACAAGAATTGCCCCTTTGGACTTCTTGGCCGTGACATACTCACTCGCTAGAAAGTAGACGAGGTGATTGAAGATCACCATGGCGATGATGATACCGACGTTGCGCCACTTGTGACTATGGTAGTAGCTGTAGGCGGAGCCAATATACGCATCCCCGTTCACGTAGTCTTGACCACGCACCGCGCCCACGGCGTCACAGGCCACACTCGTGCTGCCAGCGGACGTATGGGCTGGGATATATGACGCACAGGTGAAATTGCGCGCGTGATATTCGTTGACCATCAGCGATTCGTACCCATAAGCGACCGGATTGAGGTAGTTGATCCAGCGGCACCAGGAGAGCATGTAGCGGATTGGAACCACGAAGCCGGTGAAAACGAGCAGGGCAAGCATGAGAATCGAGGCGGGAACCATTGCTTGTTGTTCTGTTCGAGATACAGCGCCACTGATAGGTTCTTAGCCTTTGCATAACATCTCAGATGGGACAGTGCACTTACATAAACCGGAAGACTCCCGACATGGCGAGAACAATCAGAAAGACCACAAACAGGTAATAGAAGAAGTTGCCGGGTGTCCGATTGAGGTTCGTCATGAAATAGAACACGAGATTGAACGAGACTGTTCCTGTGATTTTCATGGGTAAGTCGACCAGGACCGAAGCATACGACTCGGCGGAAGCGTGGTAGAAAGCATAGCGGACTTGCTTCTCGACAATCGGTCGCTGGGCATAGAGAGTCATCGCCTCCAGGATTGAGGCGAATGCATTGAACAGAATCGCCATGAATAGCACGACAGCTCGTCCGTAGAACGAGGCCGTCGTCTGGTCGAGGTTGTAGAACAGAGAGGACATGATCAGGGCCATGATCACGTTGCCGATCATAACCCATACAGAGGGACCAGGGTCGGCCCAGAATCGTCTCCATCCTCGCCACATGCACAGCCTCACTTGCTGAGAATAGCTGAGGAGATAAGGCGAGTTGAGACGCTGTCCCTTGGCTTGACAAGCTCTCTTCAGCTGTCTGTAGGCGACAGAGTCAGGGCCGTCGATTGGGTGCTGGGCTTTGTAGAGCTCAATGCTCTGCTGGAGTGCTTTGTATCCCTCGCTCCTTATCCAGGCAGCTGCAAAGTCGTCTGCCGTGCGAGGTGGGTTGCATTTCGCACGAACGACGCGCTCTGCAGGGAAAGCCATGGAGGTGAGAAAATCTGGGGTGGTCTGATGAGTCGGACACTCAAACCCAAGATCGACGAAGTACTGCTTCGCCCGGTGAGCGGGGCCAAAGTAAATCTGCCGCCCTTCGTAGAGGACTAGAGCTTTATCGAAGAGATCGTATGCGCTTTCCGGTGCTTGATACATTGACACTGCGCAGGTCTGACCGAATAGCTCCGACTGCAGCCGCAGCGTTTTGCAGAACTCGATGGCGTTGGCAGCGTCGAGACCGCGTGTTGAACTGGGGATTGTTCACCATCAGTCTCAGAAGCTCCGAATTCTGGTCTGCCACTCACTTGTCCCAACACTGGAAAGGCGCATTGGCTAGGGTAGCCTCGGCAATGCTTACACGTTTGCGTTCGCCTCCAGAAACTCCCCGCACGAGTTCGTCCCCAACCTTGGTGTGAATGGTGTGACTGATTCCGTACATGGCCATAACGACATCACGCAGATGCTCGCAGTATCTAAATAAGTAAATGTGGGTCAGCAATCAATTCAATCGGCGGATCAGGTTTGCAGCATAGATGACATACTGTTTTCGAGCGACGCCGTCCGGGAGCTCCCTTTGACAGCGTGCAGATGCGGCAAAGGTGAGGGTATCCCCCACCGTCAGCATAGGAAAATGAACATCAACCTCAGCGGTATAGATTGCATCTCCTCGGTGAGCTGTGTGCATCTCACGATCGGAAATTCCGTGATAGTTGAAATACGATCCCTGGTTGATATAAATGCCATTGCGATCCCCGGAGATGGCTCGGAGGAAGGTCGAGCAGCCAGACCCTGGGGGACCCAGCACAACACACATCTCTCCAGGGTTTAGAATGCCATTAAAACCTCGTAAGATGTCTACCCGTGTCTGCCCTGATTTAGTGGCGCTGGGCCACAGCCGACGGGCAATCATCCCAGGCAAGGCGAGCCAGATATTCGCAACCGTCTTCTGAAAGTCTGTTGAAGTGCTATAGCCAAGGACATGAAGATCCTGAAAGCACAAACCGACGCGACGGAAGTCCTGGCTTCTCTCCGCCGCCAGCTCAGCGACCCCTGTAGCCCATGCACGCGCATTGAATCTCTTGCTGAATGGGTTCAGTGGAGATCCGGGATCATTGGCTGGAGGGTCTGCTTCCTCTTTGTCGGCAGGAAATGCGGCCGTCATGTTTTTGTGAGGCTCAAGTGTGTAGTAGGAGTGATAGAAGATGCTATGACAAACGAATAACTCACGAAGTCCACAGCTCTTGAGACATAATTAGCCAGAACATATATCTTGATAGATGCTAGTCTATAGAGCTGTGGTATGTAGGGCAATACTTTCGGTCTATGCCGGACTTAACAACGGCCGACACCCTCGGCCGACGCTCAAATAGGCAACCGAGACCGCCTCCGACACATTTTCTCGGCCGATGTCGGGGTATTTCTCTCCATTACCTTTTTTATATTATCCCCCACAGACCAGGCTGTCTGGAGTCTGGACCCTTACCCCAGCTATCTCGGAACAAGGTTTCCTTCCCTTGATCAGATAAGCACCTGTCTTCGCCCTCAGCACCAAATCTTGCTCCATGAGCTGACAATCCGGACCGCATCATGGATAAGGCGCTGAGTTCGCTGCGCCTACTCGCTGCAAGAGAGCAGCCTCAGGGAACCACGCTACCAAGCGCGCTGAGGGCTCTGCCTGGGTGAAATCGAGCTCCATAGCAGCGAAAGTCCTCTCGACCTGGCTGGAAGAGGCCTCAGGTGAATGAAATCGCAAGCCAACCACGATGTATTTGTCAAGAGTAGTCTCGCCAATGCCAATGATACGGTCAACCCACTCATCGAAGTTGTAGACGAGCTCGACCTAGGGCTCATCGAGCCAGGGTTGCTTGACGTGCCACATTGTTCCGTTGAGGGTGGAAGTGATCAAGAGGATATTCCCGTTGGGGCGAACCGCGGATTTTACCACCCAGGTTCCATTTGGCCAGTGGTATAGGAGGCATTCAGGCAAAGTAAAAGACACAACTGTCTCATTTGATGTTGTTGAGGTGTCGCGTGAAATGATGGCCGCGAGGGATCGCGATGCAGTCACAAGGCCTATTAACATAGATGAGATAATGGAACGCATGATGATTGGCAACCAATGGTTATGCAGAGAGCATGAGGCAACATGGAGTCCTAGCGGAGAGGGTACATGACTCGTTCGTATATTGATGTGCCCACCATGTTCGTGGCACACAATTTCTTAAGACTCACTTGACTTGTTAAGTTACGCAAAAAAGAGCTGACATACATTGTTCGATAGTCAACTTTGGAGAAGGTGGTTCAAGACATATAACAGCGTTTGAAGGTGAAGAAAACACTCATGACTCAGTATCAAACTCACACGGCCAATACGCCTGGGTGTGCGGTGCTAGTTCTGGCCACCGAAAATTTGCATATTAAAGGCGTGGATGACAATGCTCTTGAAGCAGCATCTATCGCGCAGTGTCTGAGCTTGAACATGGTCAAGGAGGCTCTGGGCATCTTGCAAGGGGAAGAAACCGGGTTCAACTGAACCGCGAGCTACACTGGGTCTACGTCCGGTGCATGGAATATCTTCAGACTCAGCCTAATGCGCACTTATTGCGGCGCTTCGCCTCGTCCGGACTGCACTATGTTCCCATGATGGATCGATATCTCGAGCGCATTTGAGACAACATCCGATTCCCCATCACTGGAGCTTATGATTTCCGACTCCCTCGCACTAATTCCTGACCCCCTCCGAGCTGGTACCTTCAATTTGTGTGGCTTGCATGCCTTGGATCTCCGTGACTCTAATTAGGGTTACTCGGCCGAAGACGGAGCAAGACGGAGATTTTTTCGAAAGCGGAAAGCGGAAAGCAGTGAAGACGGAGATAAGCGGGAATTTGCCGTCATCTCCTCCTGCTTACTCTCTCTCTCTTCCACATACTCCATTCATTCCTGCAGCCTCTTTCGCTCTTTCAAATTGCTCCATGCTGTGACATTCTGTGTCATGCTGCTGTACTTTTCAGATCACAGCTCGGTCTCTGTCCCGCATGCCGAGCCAGCAGCAACCGGCCCAGCCGCGTCAACGCCGCAGACCCGCCCTGGCCTGCCGGGAATGTCGTCGTCGAAAGATCAAGTGTGACCATAAAACTCCATGCGCACAATGTCGGCGTTATGGAACCTCATGTCTCTATACAGCTTATAGCTTCTCGTCACATGGCTCCCCAGTTAGCTCTTCACCTAATACTAATGCGAGTCCACCACCACCACCCCCCCCATCCGCCGACAACAACAACGACAACAACAACCAACGCTCCCAGGGAAGCCCTTCAACTTCCTGGTCAACATTTCTTCAGAATCGGAGCTTCTGCGTCTCTATCAGCTGCAGCACCTGCAGTACCTCCAGCACCTGATGCTCATGCTAGGTCAGCCTCTTCCTCAACTGATGGACCCACATTGCATGAGCTTGTGCACCGTGTGCAGAAGCTCGAAGAACTCGCCGTCACAGGAACCCGTCTCACCAATAGTGCCACTCTTCCTATCCCGTCAGGTTCTGGTATAGGGTCCTCCCGCTCCCATCCATCTCCTGCAGGGACACAGGAGTGGCAGTCCGTCCTCAACAAAACTAGAGACTGGGGGCGAAGTCGTTGGATGGGCGCCGCCGATGAGATCAAGGCGATCATTGCGTGTTATAGTGAGATTATGAACAAGCCAGTAGATATCACGCAAATATCATCTCCCAGTTCCGAAGCCTCAATCTTGGTCTCCCAGGCGGGGGACTTTTTGCGCAGGTGCAAGAACCGGGCAAGGAGCATTAAGATTGGTCGCCCTTCTCGAGGCGTTCTGCCTGCAGGACTTGCGTCGGTACCTCCTGCTCGCGAGACGGCAGATGCCATGGTCGAGCTGTATCTCTCCACTTTTGAATCAGCGTACGTATCACCGCAATCTTGACCTCGACCAACCCATAAGAAATCGTTACTGAAGGCGATGGTGCAAGCAGGCAGCGAATACTTCATATTCCCACTTTTCGGGCAGAATACCGCAGGTATTGGGATGAACCGGAAGGCATCACACCAACTTTACGCCTGAAAGTTCTCCTGGTCATTGGCATAGGCTCAAGTCTGTATGATCATGGAGACAGAGCCGCGGCCCTCCACAATATGGACCGCGTACAACATTGGATATATGCAGCTCAGACCTGGCTTGCCGGGCCCCTCGAGAAAGATAGATTGGACATCTCAGGGGTGCAAATATCTTGCTTGACAATTCTTGCACGCCAATTGTTTTCCATCGGAGGAGATACGATCTGGATCTCGATGGGATCTATGGTTCACACTGCCATGCAGATAGGACTACACCGTGACCCGAAACATCTCCCGACGAAGTCAGTGCTAGAGTCCGAAGTGCGACGTCGGTTGTGGTACACCATTCTCGAGTTCATTGTTCAGGCATCCCTCGACTCGTGGATGCCTCCACGAATCTCGTTCGATGAATTCGATACTGAGCCACCTTCCAATTTCAATGACAGTCAGCTGAACGAGTCGGCGGCTCAACCCCTACCGCGAGAAAGAGTTACAGAGACTTCAACTCAGCTAGCCTTAATCCGATCGCTGCCCATCCGTCTTCGGATTGTCAATCTTCTGAGTGGTCTTCACTCGGAGCACTCCTATGAGCAAGTACTAGCCCTCAGTTCGGAATTGACAGACGCACTTCAAGGGTGTAATCACCCGTCCTTCGCAGCCTTTCATCGGAATCTCCTAGACTATCTCGTCCGTCGATTCATGATCCCGTTGCATTACTACTTCAGCAACCAGGCGCGCAGTAACCCGCTGTTCCACTACTCACTAAAGCTCAGTCTTGATGCGGCCCTCGCGCTTGTCTCACCAGAACCAGATCCACTCTTCGCACGGCTGATGGCGACGGGGGAAGGGCTTTTCCGAGAGGGGATACGATGTGCTACCTCGGCGATCAGCCTCGAACTTCTCGCGCACGCGGAAACCCAGCGACTCAATGGTACGCTCTATCGGACTCGGGTGTATCGGGAGTTTCTCAAGCAAGTGGTACGGGATCTGGTCGTTCTGTCTGAAGATCGGATTCGTCAAGGTGAAACGAATGTCAAGAACCACATGTTCCTCCGCATGATTCTTGCCCAGGTCGAAGCTGTTGAAACAGGCAAGGCAGTAGAGATAGAGGTGGCGCGGGCGGCCAGGGACAGTCTGGAGCTTTGCAACACTATGCTACAAACTAGAGAGCATGGCGATTCGATGTTATCACCAGATCTTACGGCTATGGCGGCGATGGAGTTCGACGGCACCCAGGGTTGGAGTTGGGGCCTGATTTTGACTGGGAGTCCTTTTTCCCAGACGTTGTCTCAAATCAGTGCATTGGATAATGGTGAGACAATCCCGTAGACTAAAGCGATGGTTATATTAGATATCAAGATACGGAGTGGTTGGAAATAACTCAATAGTGGCTAATAGAAGTGTGTACGAAGGACGCGCTACATTCTAACTGAGGGTCGACAACATCGACGCCTGTGGCCATGCCAACTCCCCAAGACTGCATTTCAAGACCGAGTCACGGCGTACCAGAGCCGAATGGTGAGCCTAGTCCGCACGATTCTCGACATTCTCGCCCAAGGTCTGCCAGCAGAATGGGGTTGTTCACCCGAGGTGTTCCACGATTTACTCGTCAAGCCCTCAATCCCAATGCGCTTTCTACACTACGCACCCATGCAGGCAGAAGAGGATGCTCGTCAGTTTGGAGGTAAGGCTATATCCCTTACCCTTGGACAACATGACACCCAATGCTTACTGGCGAGCCCCGTGCAAGTAATGGCCGACCATACCGACTTCGGGTGTGTGTTCATTATTTTGCAGAAACCAGGGACTAAGGGCCCTGGAGTCTACCATCCACCCACTGAATCCTGGGTGCCCGTCCCGATGGTTGAGAATACCTTTGTGGTGAACATGGGAGACATGACGCAGCGTTACACCGAAGGGGTTCTACCGCAGCGCTCGCCATCGGGTGTTGACCAACCGTCTCAATTACCGCTATAGCGTCGCTTTCTTTCTGAATGAATCTGCAGCTCAATGCCAAGGCCTTGGATGGTTCGGGGGGGGGGGGAGACAGTGGTCGGTGATTACATTCGTGGTCGCCTGATCGAGACGATGGGGTCTACAGGTTGAGTACTCCAGCGCGAGGTGACCAGTGCTTGATTCCTGACAATCGATAGTAGGTGGTGATAAATCGAGCATGAATATGAACCTGGGGAGTTTTTTTCTTTTTTTCTGGTCAACTATCAGCATAGGCATCGAATATACGCCGAGTATCTGGCAAAGCGAAATAATACCTGTGAATAGTCGCCGCTTGCGCCGGGGGTCAGTATGTAGCCGTAGCTGCAGCTAAAATATTGAGGGCGCTCATGGCATTGTAACATCCAAAAGAACTCACCTCATTCACTTTCGCATTCCTTACGTTTTCCAGGCCAATTTCCTGCGCACCTTTCGAACCTATATCAATTAGTAGCTGTCCCTAACTGACTGACTGACTGATTGACTCCAACGGGAACAGTTTGCTGTCTATGACAGGCACGAAATTGAAGTACCAACTGCATGTTCAAAAGCTACATGCTCGTTGCGGTGATTTCGTCCGAACAGGGCCACGCGAGCTGACCATTTTCCGCGCCTCCGCCATCGAACTCATCTATGGCTCCTCGTCCAGGTGCACCAAGGGCGCCTGGTACGATCAGAACTCCGGCGATCCCGACAAGGTTGGAATCGAGAATCTTCGCGATGCAGCGAAGCATCGGCTACGACGGAAAGCGTGGGACAAAGGACTGGGTCTTCGAGGTAATGCGATGCCTGCTGTTGTATTAACCTCACTTGTCACGACGCAACTGTCTAACAATGTAGACATAGCGCTGGACAAGTATGAGGCTCGAGTGACTGCGAAAGTCAACCAATTGATGGCTGGGATTGGCACCGGCATACCGGTGAATATCACCCAACACAGCACCTTCTATGCTTGGGACGTGATGGGAGAGATCGCCTTCTCGAAAGACTTCGGCATGTTGGAGTAAGAATCTCCAGGTGGATAGTTCTTTAAGAGGAACGAGGCATCCATACTAACTCCTCATCACACCACAGGACGGGGCTCGAGCACCCTGCAGTCGATGGGCTGCACTGGGCCATGACCACAGCTGGGGTTGTCACGACTCTCCCGTGGCTGATGAATATGCTGCGTGTTATTCCAGGGGCCACCGGTCGGTTCGAACGCTTTGCCGGCTGGTGCTCGGAGCCAGCTGAATACTAAACGACAGGCACTTCTACGACAGAAGGCTGAGGGTACACTGGGAGAGCCACAAGACGTCATGTCGTGGATCATAAGAGCCCAGCAAGAGGGGGATAGGTCCGCTCCACCCACGGAGTCGGCGATCAAGGAGGACGTACGCACCCTGATTTCAGCCGGTAGGTATGTGAAGCGCCATATCCTCCCCCAGTGTGTGTAGACCAGCTGACACATTTTGACCTGAAAGTGATACGGTCGCTATCGCCTTTATCTTGTCAGTGCTCCCCTTTCTGTTCCACGCCTGGTCGAGATACACTTCACTCAATACTAAACCTCTGTAGCCTATACTTTATGGTCAAATACTCGAGGATCTACCGCAAGCTGCAACGACTAGTGCGCGAGAGCTGCCCCGATGGTGGGCCGGAGAGCTGGACTTATGAACAAACAGCTCAAGCGAGTCTCCTACATTGACCAGCTGATCCACGAAACGTTACGGTTGCGCCCGCCGGTGCCCATGGGATTTCCGCGTGAGACTTCCGCCAGAGGGTTTACAGGTTGAGGAGATTCACATTCCGGGGAATGTCATTGTCACCGTTCCAATCGGGGCGATTCAACAGGACGAGCGCTATTTCGAATCGGCGACTGAGTTTCGTCTGGAGCGCTGGGGATCCCTCACCCCACTGCACAGACAGCCGCGTATCTTCCTTTCCAGCAGGGCCAATTCACCTGTGCGGGGAAAGCTCTCGCGATGATGCAATTGCGAATGCTGATCGGGTGTGGTGGTACTACGGTTCGACGATCTGGCGTTTGCACCCGGAGAGGATGGGGTGGTGTTTTGCCCAGCGGAAACGAGAAACGATGAAGGGGGAAAGGGTGTTGGGCCATATTGCTGAGGGGACAATTGCAGATGAAACAACTACGGAGTAACTACAGGTAGTCTGTACACTGTACGTGGTTTCACACTTGACCGGCGTGAGACCGACCAGTTTTGGACGGTTTCCCACTTTCCAGTAATGGTACTACTACTTTTTAACAGCTTTTACAAGGGAGATGATGAGATACGGGTAACTCCCGTCACATCGGATCAGGAACATTTCTGCAAGCATAGATCTATCGGCTGTCCCGACGTAGAAGATTCTTTACTACAAGTTTAGGATGGATTTGAGGAAGTATTGCTCTCGGAGACCGTGATCATTCATTAAAAGTGCTCATTCGTTATAGTACATGCTTTAAAAAGGAAAAAAGGCTTTTCGATGTAGCAGTAGCATCGAGGTATTTACCGGGCAAGGGCATCCTTGGGCAGACCCTCAAGGTTGTCCTTACCCTGGCGGCCGACGTCGCTGCCGGGCTGTGTGTTCTGGTGCAGCTCCGATCCATCGACGCGGACGCTGCTGCTGGCGGTGGCGGGCTCCCGCAGGGCGCTGTTGTTCTCGCCGGAGACGGGGCCCTCCCGACCGCCCGAGCCGACGTTGACGGTTCTCTGATCGGCCGAGTTCCAGTCGCTGGCGACGGGGGGCTGGTCAGGCAGGGGCAGGTTGGCCTTGGTCTTCTCGATCTGTTCGCCCTTGTTGGCGTTGTTCTGGTCGACGATGGACTGTTGTCGATGAGGTCAGAAACTGGGCCAGCGGTAATAGAAGCAATCAGTGGTGGTCTCTCCTTACCTTCATGGCGGAAACATTGGAGTTGGCAGGGGTCTGGCCAGCATGGGCGTGGGAGGCGTGGGACTCAGGCTTGCGGATGTCCTGCTGGGTGGTGTGGAAGGTGGTGTCGGCCATTGTGATTGTGGAGATGAGGTTTTTTGGAGAGGTGCTAAAGTTTGGAGGGTAGAGATTGTGGATGGAATTGAGTATTTGGAGGTTGGGTTGGTTGTGAGTTGATTGTGTTCTGAGATGAAGAAGCAAAATTTCTGAGAGGCAACAAGCAGCTTTTAATATGTTGTCTTCGAGCAGGGTTTGGTGGTTGATGGCCGGTGACGTTAACGATGTCGACGTCATAAGGGCCGAGCTCTCCTTGGTTCGCCTTGCACGCAACCCAGTCTGGGAACACACAACGCTCAATTTTTTCGACTCAACTGCAACCTGAGCAAGTGTCCACTTTTGCATTATGGAGCCACTGTGAGCGAATGATTGTCGGTTTCTTTGAATCAGTGATCGAATACTCCCTGCCTGGATTTGACCTGTCCACCTACGATTCTTAGCCTGGTAGCAGCAGTTGGCAACCATAATCGGAGTAGGAATCTGTGGTTCCTGGGGAACAAATTCCGCGCTTTTCTTCTTTCTTCTCTGCTTGAAGTTGAGACTGACTTTGCCATCGATTGAACTGAGGTCATCGAAGATGCCAAGTCCCTGGATGGGCAGGATCATCATATCAATGATGCCATCTTCAGACACCTCACCCCTGCCCACCCTGGAGATCTCACCACATCGCCATCGGCCCCTGAATCTTCAATAGCCACTTGCTATGGCAGTATCCACACTTGGGTATACCTTCTCGCACTTCAACGTCTATTCGTGACGTACCTGTCTGCGGCCAGGGGCTCAGCCTTCGCGATGATGAGTTCCATCAACTAAGCATGAGATTATGGGCAAGTATCGCGGAGCACAATTCTCCGACCAGCCTCGACAATCTAGGCAAAGCATCATGCCTTTCACATCATTCCTCAATGACGAATGGTGCATGAATGAATGATGGCCATCAGGGCAGTGGCCCTTAACCAATATAGCACCAACATGTGCCCTCTTGACGCGCTTCGAGAGAAATCAGCTGTAAATTGCTTGATTCGGCACATTTGTTACGACTCCTTATCGCCATAACTCAGGCCATCGGTGACTTGAAAGTCATCTTCGAATCAAGCCTTTTCCAAAGCATTGGTGGGGCTTATCAGGCTGTGGTTATCGTCGACCCCGCAACTTGAATGGCTGGCCTCTAGAATTTGGGTCAATGCAGGAAAGCGGTGTCTTCTCCGCAATATTCGATGTGATTGTGACCGCCATATAGGTCAAGAGAAGTGATTTTCAGCTTGATGCCAACGTCTCAGTCATGTGAGTCTAGTTCGAAGTACTATCGGCTTCGGAATTGTGAGATGATCCATGTGAAGTCTAACTCGGTGCTGCTTTCGCATTGGAAGATAAAATCTTCATGAAAGGCGGCGGAGAAGGGCGGTTATGGTGCAGCAAGATTGATATCGCCATAGCTTCCTTCTTTCGGTTGGCTTGCCCGGCTGTCTTTATCGCTCGGTGGTCGCGATAAAGGTGCATCCCCGATAACCAGCCGGTGGATAGTCAGTCCGCTTTATAGGCTCGGCGTAGCAGATGCGCATGTGGTTAGTCCCCATTCAAATTGGCCTGGCGAAGGGCCTTCCAGGCTTTCAATGCGCCAGGCCTTTTTTGGTTGGCACGAACTCAAACCGCGCTCACAATGTTGAATTTTTGGACATCACTAGTAGATACTTTAGATACGTGAATGTGGCTAGATATAGCAACAGATTATGTCGAGCGAGATTGCCAGGATACAGCACACGGAGTGCTAGGAGTGCTAGGAGTGCTATCGAGGACTTAGAGCTCCTATCATAATCAGATGAAGTAAGACTCACAGAGTCATATGGGTGAAAAGTCGGTTGCGACGAGGTACAGTACATAACCACTGATGTGACAACCACAACCTGATTCGGAGTAAGCGAAGATCCATTTAAGCGATGTCATGTGAGCTTTACGCAGTCGAGTACGCATTCTAAAAGAGTACTCAGCGCGGAGTATATGTGTGTCTAATTCAATGTATAGCCACAGCATCTGACAACTAGGGCTCATTGATTATGAACTTTTCAGCTACATGTCCCCGGCTCTATATATCTCAGCCGGTTTTGGGCGACAATAATGTGCGAGCGCTCGGTTACGGCAACACAGATAAAACAAACCTTGAAATAATAGTATATTTATCAAGTACAGAAGAACTGACTCCGAGCAATCAACATCAGTTGACATATGGCACTGAATCTTACCCTTGACCTTACCCCTGCGATGTCGGCGGTCATTCGATATGGCACAAGGGATCTGAGCCGTGAATCGGAGAAAACCGAGCCTGACTCATTTTGCCTCTTGAACCTTGAGCTTTTGTCCATTGAGACTGATCTCTATGATGAGTCAATTGATGGTGAGACATTGAAGGCTCGATTGGTTGTGATTGCTTTGAACGGAAGCACCAGGCGTCTTTGAACGAAAACTCCCGAGAACGCCCTCACAAGTACTCCTTCCGTTGGCGATGAATGATGCAATCACTCGTGGGAAACAACAGTGTGGAGCGAATCATACGCACTAGGAACTACATATTTGAGGTGAGAGATGTATAACACAACAAAGGAATACGAGCCATGCATCGAGATTTACCCCATGTTTTTGAACGACGCAGCCGTGGGCCCCCCGAGAGATGGCATGATCGAAGGCGAGACCCGAAACGTGGGTGCGGGGTCTGAGTTTGCGTCTTTACCCACCGCGGGGAGGAAGATCCTTCAGTCCTGAAATACTGGCGATTGACTGGTTTACCCCAGCCGGGGAAATCCCGCCAAGATCACCGCGCCTGGATGTCCCGATGGTTCAGGCAATGTGCAACAAGGATATCCATTCGAACCACGCTCTCGTTGCCTCTGAGACTACGCTATGACGTTCTTTCAACCAAATGAGCGTTCTCGACTTGACCTTAAGGGAGCTCCGGCGAAGTCGAGCCGGTTCGACAGTCTCGTATAGCCGAAGGATGCAAGATCTGACCGGACAAACGAGAGATTGGGCAGAGTGACATAGATGTGTGCGTGTAACCCTTGCTAAACCTTGTCTATACAATTTCCAATAGTTCACGGCCCAACCATTTAGAGATGAGGGGCTGGGCTGAGCCTTGCAGCTCGCTCTAGCAGCATCATTTTGTGTAGTGACTAGTCGCTTTTACTGTTGATGAAACAATAGCTCTCTTCTTTGACACATTCAGAAATTGAATGCTCAAGGCAGGGCTAGTACCCTAATCATGGCAGACTGGTTTTTCAAACTCGGAGCAGTCAACGCGCGGCTCAGTACGTTCCAGTTCTTGTAACTTGCTACCAGATTTGCGAGACCAAACTCTCGCCTCCACTTCTGTGATTTTCTCGGCGAACACTCGGGCATGCTTGCGAGGACAGTAGGATGTCTATCAGTGGATCACCTGAGTTACATAAACCGACTAGTCAGCCTCTTTATGCTTGGGACGCGAGCTACTTATGAGAGTTGTCCCCCACTCGCTCAGCAAGAAGAGCCAGGAACATGGAATGGTCCATCTACTCAAGTACATCAGCGAGGCTTTGCACCTGGAATAGAGTTTAATTTCCCCGCGATACTCCAACCTCGAACATGGGAGACATCAGCGTGGCAATTGATGTATGATGCCTGGAAGTTCAGACTTCGGTGTGTATTCGAGGGTACCAAGGGACTCCGATGCAGGAGGAGAGGAACTCAGCCAATGAGCCCACGGGAATAATTCGGTCATCGGTCAACAGTCGGGATTACCCCTTCTCCAAGTGGGCAATTTTTCTGGTCGGACAGTAATCTTGGTTTCAGGGTTCGTAGCAATGATTACCATTGTCATGCCGCTTTTCTCCATCGACTTCGTGACTGTAATACGGATGAGCCAAGATCACCATCAGGCTGACTGCCGGTCAGGAAACTGCGGGGGAGCCGGCGACCTAGTCGTCCACACGCTTACGGAGACAGCGTATCTATCTGTATTGAAGGGACCCTTGGAGCAAAGCGGCAACTCAGACAGACCTTCATCTCCATTCTCCAGTCTAATCCAGTATATCAGACTAGCTCCGGCGGAATCCGGAAAGCTTCTCTGGCTCGGAGTGCTGATGATCTCCAAGAACCGAACCGCTCTCGAGATCAACTAGTGTCGGTCCAGGCTGGACAGTGTACATATTCCCGATAGGGATAGGCCTGTAGCATGAAGATATGACCTTGGCAGGATGCATGACGATAGGATTCAATAATCCACTGCACTGATTTTGATCTCGCGATATACAGAGCAAATCGTATCAGGTCTGTAGCTCTTGCGTCTACATCTCACCAGCCATTCGTTCGTTTGGTATCAATCGGACCGGGTGAGGAGGGTCGTCCTCATGCATCGCTAGAATCGCCCTGCACTCGCCTTACATTAGTGGCGGATTATCCTTAGGGCCGCCCTCCGTTAGCGGAAAGGCGCCTGCAGTTGCAGGGATGGCGTTTGATTCTGTGATAAAGTAGGCTGTCAGATTGCCAGGAGGTTATGTACGTCGCCAACTTGGGAGGGGTCGTTCGTTGCTATGAAACATATGATTGAACCAGCGATAACTACTAATAGTTAACTATGACTTGCGCGATGGGAAAGATAATATATCAGGACAACCTGGAGCACAGATTGAACATCCTCGGCAGGATCAGCTGCGAGCCCGCTGCCAGCCAGCTGCCGAGGAACCTCCTGCCTTCCATCCTCAAGTTATGCTCAATTACACAGGGCAGGTAACAACAATACATAAAGTACAGTACCTCAACTTTACGGTCCGTGGTTCAATAGAATTGCCTGCCCAGTGTCTGCTGAGCGAATGAACGCTGTAAGCCAGATGTTCCCATTGGGCACGATCCCAGCGCATGACTCCACACCTCACAGCCCCACCTGGCCCCCCTTTTGAGTCCCGACGGCACTCTGGAACCGTCAACTGTAAACTACGACTCTCACTGCGGATGATTAACTTAACTCCCGTCCCCAACACCAAAAACCTGTGGCTCCTAGTCTTATTTGGTGCCTCTCGCTCTCTTTTCCACTTCCTTCTTCAACCCCCCTCCCCCCCCTCTCTCCACGCTTTCCGCCACTTGTCTCTGTCACCTTTTACATATTTCGACATTAAAGACCCCACTCGTGGTGTTGTCCACATCTCGTCAATATCCCCTCTCTGGGAAATACATCTAGTTCGACATTATCGCCATCTATCCTATCTAGGTCTCGTTTCTGTACCAACGCTAGTCATTGTGTCGTGCTTATCTGCGCGCACCCGAGACGACCAATAGTTGAAACCATTCGCAGGCAGATGCGCCAGAGCATCCCGCCAAAATGCCTGGAATTCTTCCGATGAAAGTGATCAAGGTCGGCAACGGCGCCCAGAGTCGTATTGCCCAGGCCTGTGATCGATGCCGAAGCAAGAAGATCCGTTGTGACGGCGTCCGACCATGTTGCACTCAATGCGCCAACGTTGGCTTCGAGTGCAAAACGAGCGATAAATTGAGTCGTCGCGCTTTCCCTCGCGGCTACACCGAATCCTTGGAGGAACGAGTACGCGCGCTGGAGTCGGAAGTCCGGGATCTCAAGAACCTGCTGGATGAGAAGGACGAAAAGATCGATGTGCTCTCTCGAATCCATTCCTTCTCAACATCGTCACAAGGAAAGGCCAATACTGCGGCCCGATCCCCGTCAGCACCGGTGAAGCACGGCCAACCCGCTATCGAAGAAGGAGTAATCCGAGTTCGGCAATTACCGCAGTCGCAGGACGCAAATGAGTCCACCGTCTGCGCGGGTGTCTCGAGCACTCAAGGTTATGTTGGTATGTTTGCGCCACCTTGCATCCTGGGGTAGAACTGTGCCTGGTGGTCGAAAAGCTGGCTTGAGGACGCATGTCGCTAACTTTGGTCCAGACGCCTTTGTCAACAAGCTTTCCGACCAAAATCGACTTCCTCCGAATTTCTCGATCAGGGCGCTGACTGCGGCCCCTCCTTCCATATCCCGCTCACGTATTGATCAAACCTTGAAGACGGCGCCTCGGCTTGTCTCGGATCAACTTATCAACATCTTCTTCCAGGAATGGGCCCCTCTATATCCGGTTGTTCATCGCCCTACCATCCTTAAGGCCTACGAGCAGTATTTGTCGGGCACAGAGTCGTTACGCGATAACAAACACAACCTCACCCAGCTGAACCTAATTTTCGGAATAGCTGCCCTTGCTTCTGCCGTAAGTCCAACCAGGTCAAGAAAGCAATGGCCGTCAATGAGACTAACTCCACCATAGTCGAGAACCAATCAGGATCCCTCATTCTTTGAAGATAACTGGTCGCCGATGCTCGAATCCATTTCCAACGACATTTCTATCCACACCCTGCAATGCTATGTCCTTGCGCAAATGTACTGTATGGCAAAGGGCGACTATTCGAGCCTTGGGTCCTATAGAGGCTTTGCTGTCAACCTTTGCCATCAACTGAGACTTCACCAGAGTCAGAAACGCTTTGTTTCGAATCCTCTTGTGGCGGAGACTCGGAAAAAGGTGTTCTGGTGTCAATACGTCCTTGATCGGTAAGTCTCGTGTATAACGTACCGCCTTTCAGAATGCACTTTTAACATAAAGCAGGTTCACTGCGGCTTTAACCGGGCTTCCTGTTGTCTTACGCGAGCAAGATATCAAAACCGAATACCCCGAGGACATTGATGATGAGAACGTCACTGAAACAGGCTTCCTGCCCACGCTTCCTGGCGAGACGACTCGCATTTCCAGTTCGATTGCGTTGTTTGCAGCTTCGAGAGTGCTGAACAAAGCTTTGGAGGATGTTTATCCTGGCGATGGCGATTATGATATCTCCTTGCCCAAGATGCGCTTGGTCGCAGAGCAGCTTGATGAATGGGTGAAGGGTCTGCCCGCTCATCTTCGCCTTGAGTTCACACAGGACAAACCCAGCACGAATGTCACGAGCAGTCGATCGCCGCTTCTGGTAAGTTTACTTGACAAGACCCAAAACGACTACAGGACGTTACTGACATGTGCTCAGTCGCTTGTCTACTATTTCATCCGCTCTTTGATCCATCGGCCTGCCGTCTGCTTCGGGGAAGACTGCGTTCGATCGCCTTCGCTCCTCGTCATCTCTGACTCGGCCAAGCATATAATTCAGATCTTACAGTTACTTGATGAGCGACGCCTGTGCCTTTCTCTCAGCTTTAACCGGAAAGAGTTAATATTTGCTACTGGCCTCAATTTCCTGTGGCAGAACTTGAACCTGAAACATGACAGCAAACTTGCGAAGGAGAGCCAGAAGTGGATTACAACTGTCGTTGATCAGCTGGAAACCGAGTCGTCCCCTATTGCCGCGGAGTTCAACGCACTGGCTCGAGTTATGGTATCCCTGGATAGTCATAAGCACGGCTCTTCGATTGGACCTTCGGATATGTCCCCTCCAGCTCAGAAACCATTGAAGTCTCCCAAGAAGCAGCTTCAGTCTTGGAAAGCACGCCTGACTGGTCACTCGAGTCCGTCGCAGACAGAAAAGCAGGATTCTTCATCTCGACGTGCCACAATCTCTGGCGCGAGTACTCATCCCAACGCACGCCATATCCGGTCCTCTAGCTGGGCAAGTCTACCTTTGGACAATGTACATGCGCCTCCGATGCTTGCCGAGAAGGCTTATCATCGCTCTGCTTCCATGGCTTTCGATAGCAGTCACGCTCTATCGAGCTCTGCGCCTTCGGATGCGACGGCGGGCCCCATCACAGTGTCGGACTGGGAGTTCGTGCTGAGTGACATGGACCGGGGCTATTCGAATATCTTTACTGGAATTTATGGTGGTAGAGAATGTGGCGAGGATAGCGGACCGTTCGCTTCCATCACTGCCGAATATGCCCCAAAGCCCGACCACAATACAATGTCGCGTAGCGAGCTACAAGGATTATCGCCAGAGGCGTGGTCCGCTAGTAGCAACAGCGATCTGCAGCAGGGCCAAGAGGCTGCGGCGCAGAGCGTTCTTAGCTACTCCGACGAGAGCATGGCAAGCCCGGGCGATGGGATCCCTTACAACGATGTTCACTTGTCGCCTGAGGAGCACGCCAACCTTCTGGACCCGTTTCATGGTATCATGGTTCCTGGTGTGGATGACGAAGTCCACGATTTCGGGCTTATCAATGGTTGGGATCGACGGCTGGCCGTTTGATCTGTCCCTGGCAGAGGGCTACCGCTGTTACGATTTACATGAATGATTCTGTTATGCTTTTTGGTTGTCAAGCGGGGTGCGTTATGGTAATGGGAGTCACCTGTATATAGTGGTCGGACTTTTCTTTATTCTTTTTCTTTTGGTGATACCTGGGGCGTATTGGTTCTATCCTGCAAGTGAGATAGTTGCACGAAATGTAAGCTGCTGCTTCTGTACTGCTCTAGTATTCTTCGATCATAGGCAAGCATAGCGATGTCTGATGTGAAGTCATAGTGTGCTGTAAAAGTTACTTCTTACTTGTATACTAGTTAGTTTCCATCAACTGTGTTCTAGAAGCCGAAAGATATTCAGCTATACGGGGCACGTTGAAACTTGATTGGCTACGAGGTTCATACAATATAGTATTTTTGTCAAGGGTCCAAATGTATAGCTAGTATCGTATTTGGTCTTCTGTCTGAAGATAGTCCGAGGTGCTACATCCCCTCAACAGTTCCAACCCTTTCGCACCGACGTCGACATAGTTCCAATGCGCGTCTCTTTTAATGAGATCAGTCGGTGCTTGAACTCGACCTTTCAGCTTAGCTTTTTTATGATCCTCTTCTCGATTTCCTAGAGCGACTACTCATAAGGTACCATCCTGAAACTACCCTTTCCAGACCGGTTCCACCTTCTAATCCCGAGATATGGTTTTCCAGCTCGCGGCGACCGGACGATCACCCCGTCGCTCGGCTTCTAGTTAATCCACAAGGATATACTTGTTGACTATGTTTTGGTGATCTATACTATATCTATCTTCGACTGGGCTATAAGACCGGCTGCACTGATAGTGATACAGACCTCGTGTAGATTCCGCAAGACCACTTTGTAAATAAGACTCTCCGCGATAAGTAAATCCGGTCCAGAGCGTTGGTGTACTGTACCTTGTACCTTGTACCTCGAAGACGGTCGCGATCCGACCCGCTGGCAACTGGACGACGGTATTAGGGTCCTTCGGCGTCGGCGCATCGCAACCAAAAGTATAGCTCCGTGACCAGTTCAAAACGTGCTGCATCATGACTATTAAGGATGAGGAACGACCGTTCTGCTCGTCGGAGAAATTGTGGTGGTGCACGGCGCAGTCTCATCACATCCAGAGACCGGCATGCCGCTATTGTTCCGTCCGGCTGATAACTACCTAGTTAGTTATGTGTAGTTAGGTATGTTAGTTAGTTAGTTGTCTTAGTCAAGCTGACTGTTGTGGCCCGTGTTCTGCAGTCTGCCGCACATGGCCGCGCTGACAGGCGACGAGGGTTCTCTGAAAAGATCGTCAACGGGAAGGAAAAAAACTCAGTAAGGTCAGATGATGAGCTGGACTATGGCTTCTAGAAACCCTTCTTATTATCAATCAGCCCGACGAACGGAGTACTGCCGGAGAAATTCAATGAGAATGATTGTTATGAATTAAGATGGATGGGGTGGAGGGGGGAAGGGTTGCGCGGAGCAGCGTCCTCCGGACCCAGCGGACAGAGGCACTCCGGGCGATGGTTCCGGAAAATTGCTGCGTTGGGAACTTTCCGCTGACTTGTGCAGTAACTGACTAGTGAGTGGACGGGTCGGGGAACGGAAACATGAATCCTTGAGTTTATGTCCGATTTGCGGTCGGTAGGACGGAGTACTGGACGTATTTCTCATCGGGTTTAATGGGTAATGGTGGTGGTGGTGGTCTGCAGGATAAGTGCCAACTCATCGGAAAAGGTCCAGGTGTGTTAGAATGATAGGTGTGGAAAGCCATGCTGGTTGAGCTGGTTGAGATGGAGGGAGGGGCTGTTGCTGCTTTACCGTCGCATTATTAGGCTGTTTACAGCTTCCCTTTGCTAGCTTGTGGAAAGCTATCTCGCTGTTTTACTGAGCAAGGAACAATAACTGCTGCTGCTGCTGCTGCTATTACTAGTATGGTTAAAGCTCGTATAAAAGTAAGGAGATAGGGGAGGAAGTGCATTGTTGTTCGGCAATGGATACGGATTAATCTGAGTCCCTCTCGGTTTCATGCAATTGCTTACCTTGGTGGCCTGAGGCATCGATAGTGGGTGAATGCATCATTCATCATTCATTCTCCGTGTTTCTCTCCCGGTGCTGCTCTCCTACCCGGACGTCATTGATATGAAAAAAATCATCTCGTCCATCACAACCACAGCTGCCCTGTCCCATGAACCGCCCAGTGTCATTGCCATTGCCATTGCCATTGCGTCCAGTGTAGCTGGAGCTTCACCTCATGTCATTGATGATTATGATTATGGAATTCTCAGTAAGACTCGTACAGATATCATCACATTGATGAGGGCTCCCCCCCCCTCCTTCCAGAGCAGCCGGTGAGGATTGGCCCCACTACAGACATCATTGCCACCCCACCTTCCCAGTTCGATCTTCCCCCCCCC